TCTCCGGTACGTATGAATAACTTACAACACATGAAATCTCTCCGGAACATATGAATCAATCTTGGTCCCTTTAGCTTGGGAATTAATTGTTGTGTTGAATGAGGTATTAAAGGATATATGACGAGTATTTGATCCTTTCACCCCTAGGTAATTTTAGTAGACTCTACCATCCATCCATCTGGATGAGTCATTTATGGTTTACAGTGGTGAAGGGGTACGGATCCCTGTACCACTGCTGTAACTAAGTGTTAAGGATCCCTGTACCACTGCAGTAACTAAGTGTTAAGGATCCCTGTACCACTGCTGTAACTAAGTGTTAGAAACGGTTTATCATACAGGACTACAGCTTTGATCATTTATTTCTGTAAACAAACCATATCTTGCGGGACTTTTTATGAAAAATGATAATTAAGCATTAAACTGCCTTCTTTGGAAAGTTATTGTCCTATAATTCTCACAGGATTGCAGACAAGTTGAATAACGTGCATTAGGATTAATTTGTCTGCATTCCTTTGAGAAGAAGGCAAAGAAGGCAGTTTAATACTCATATTTCCGTTTTTAATTTAAGTTTTTCTTACATTTCTAACCTGTTATCGCATTTCAAAGTCAAATTTCGCGCTGTCAATGGGACCTGTTCTTGTGATTTCACAAGTACACGCGACTGTTTCCGGCAAAATAATATAGATCGTGGAAATAAACACAACATCATCAATTTAATTAACAATTTAATCAATATAATCCACTGTGAGGAAATTTACCTTTTATACAACATAACTACATAAATTGTTGTGAGTTACATTGATCAATTGGGTTTTTTAATCGGGTAGCACGGATGGGTTACCACGAGGAATGCGTATTGTTATATTTTAATCGGGTGGCACGGATGGGTTACCACGAGGAATGCGTATTGTTATATTCTAATCGGGTAGCACGGATGGGTTACCATGAGGAATGCGTATTGTTATATTTTAATCGGGTAGCACGGATGGGTTACCACAAGGAATGCATATTGTTATATTTTCGTGATGTCAATAATACACTTAATATAGTGACATCGGTCAAAACGATGTCATTTAGTCACAACGTCATAAACATGTTCTTCATATCACTAGACCAATGGGAATGATGTGAGAATTATGATCTGATATCTTTCTATCTTGTTTGGTAAGGTTATATAGTGGCAATGCAGAGCAAATGGAAATATAGATAAAATAAACAATTTAATCAACAACAGTGTAATGAGTGTAAAAATTCAGGAGGGCTAGGCTGGGATTCGAACCCTGGACCTCAGCTTGTAATACCATAACTGTAACCAATTGAGTTACCTGGTCAATAGAACTAAGCTGGCCCTAATCTGCAACAATTCTATTCAAACAAAAGTTAAGGGGAGGTTACAATATACATGAATAGGAAAAACCACAGTGCAGTGGGACAGGGATCCTGGTAAAGTACAATACACATTTTTCCTTTCACCACATCCCTGAAATAATTCAACTTTACTGATGATTACAAAGCAACAATAGCTTTTCCTTGTTATGCTTCAATATTTTCATACATTTTGTCACAGGAATGAATCAGGAGGATTTTCAATATTTTACTTTGTTACAGATTGAGATTTAACATTGGATGCTGTATGACATGGGAGGGGCTTATGTTGTTCCACCCCTTCCAGTGTCAAAGATAGACTTGTTAGGTATTGACATCCTGGATACTCCAGGGTTAAAGATAGACTTGTTAGGTATTGACATCCTGGATACTCCAGGGTTAAAGATAGACTTTTAGGTATTGACATCCTCGATACTCCAGGGTTAAAGCAAAATTGAAGGCACCCAACTAGCTATTTGTATGATCTTAGGTGGAAAAATAACTCGCCAATCGCTAATTCTAATTGTCTAATTCAACAAAACTTCACAAACATCTTTTAAAACTATCATACATGGTTATTGCAGTTTCTTTCTTACATGAATCAGAACTCATAAGTCAATTAAATTCCTTTAATATCATGTAAAAACTGAATATTTTTCCAAATTTATGCTTAAAGAATAAATTTGACTTGGGCATTCCTTTACACTTACATTACATACCGGTATTTGCAACAAAGATAATGCGACCAATCTCAATCAAAATACAAATGTACTGAAAAAGAGACCGATAGAAAATCTATCACAGTAGCGTTTTACCAAATAGCATTAACTATTTCAAATTGTAAATATTTTTTCCGAATACTTACCCCAAGTGTTGAAAATTCTAGTTAGATACAGCAGCCAAAATTTTAGTTTTAGTTAATGAACCATTCACAGATGTATACTATGGAACATCATTTACATCCTGACTTTTGTTTAACGTGCTGTTAACCTTTAAAGTCATTAAGGACGTGTCTCCATGTCACTAATGTGTGTAGTGTCTCCATGTCACTATTGTGTGTAGTGTCTCCATGTCACTAGTGTGTGTAGTGTCTCCATGTCACTACTGTGTGTACTGTCTCCATGTCACTACTGTGTGTACTGTCTCCATGTCACTATTGTGTGTAGTGTCTCCATGTCACTATTGTGTGTAGTGTCTCCATGTCACTTTTTTGTGTAGTGTATGGATGCATGTGTGTTGGAGGTTGGGTGTGTTGGTGTACTTGCCTCCAAGTGATAATGCGGATCTGATGCCCACTTTATAGTGCTTACTCACTGAAAATCACTGACAAGGAATAGAAACAACCATTTTAAAGGACTCTGGTCTGTCCATGCCTAGGGACAGAACCCATTGCCTACCCCACTTGGGCGAACGTTCAACACTAAGGCCAAAAGTGAGGTCTTGGCCAGCGAGGCACTGGAAACATCTAAGTCTGTTTTGTCTACAGAGGCGAGAATATTGACAGGGTCTTCTTGTTGTTTTAGTGAATGGTGCTGCCAAAGTTGCAGTAGGAGTGTTGGTTCCACTACTCGTCCTAGCCATCGTAGCCCTAGTGGTCATCATCATCATCAGGAGAAGACAACGAAGGAAACAACAACTTACACAGGCAATGTTGGTAAATAATCTGGAAGGAGCAGGCTCCTTGGAACCACCTGTTCAGTTGGACAGTACAGACGCCACACAAGACTCTTCGTCCTCCAGTAACACTTATACAAATGGAGAGGCTGTGGTCTTCTCACAGCTTCCACAGACACTGGTCGTGAATGAAAATCCAACATGTTGATGACACCTGGGACCGCTATCATTAACAAAAATCCAACATGTTGATGACAATTAAAGCCCACCGTAAGAAATTATGACATATTCATGAAACCATTCTCGTGCTCAAACATGGATTCTATGCTCAAACCAACTTTATTGTAACTTGCTTAAATTCAAGGTCAAAACTCCAAGTTGAAACATTGAAAACCATATTCAACTTTAAATCATCTTCAAAACTCTGCAAAATTATGGACAAAATATGAATTTTTATTCACTTTTCACTGGAACTAGAAATTGAGTTCGAGCATGGGAACTGTTTTCTAAATACATGCCCAGGTATTTGTCAACTGCCATGATAGAGAAATATATAACTGTTCAGTTGGAATTTTTTGCTGGGGATTTAATTTCTCTAAGATTGCAGGAAATGAATTACCTAGTGAATATTCAATTCAACATGCTCAATATCGTAGTTTATGTTATTAAAAAAAGTTTTAATTATATACACGTACCCTCACCTAAATACAAAAGTACACTTGTGAGTGCAAGTTTTAATCCTGCGAATTTGTTCTGATCGGAACGACCTCAAAATATTAGCTCCCCAAAATTATACAATTATACAGAACATATTATATGCTAAAACAATTAGGATATTTTCATGGCACTCTTCTGTTTTCTGTCATTCAGGATTTAGGACAAATTTGTATAGTTTATCCTTTAAAGGAGGTCGGTGTATTACGAGGACACACACACACATATATATATATATATATATATATATATACAGGCTTTCTGTCATGTCCAGTGAAATCTTTAGGACATATATATGTATAGTTTATCCTTTAGAGGAGGTCGGTGTATTATGAGGACACACACACATATATATATATATATATATATACAGGCTTTCTGTCATGTCCAGTGAAATCTTTAGGACATATATATGTATATAGTATAAGTATCTGTTGGAGTCCCATGGAGTTATTCATTAGAACTTCATTGATACAGTATATTTTTATCATGAATAATTGATACCATACATTTCATTCTTTAACCCAGACATTTTGGATTGTGCTCTATAGGAATCAATATCAGCTTTAGTTTTTAAAACCCAGCAGAAACTATGAATCTCCTGTTTTGAGTATATATACAATAGTTTTTAGATATGGACGAGAGTTGTGAAGATAGTGAGACATGACACTGGATGTCAATTTGGTGCTTAACTAATTAAATATTAGAATTCAACATTAAGTGTTGAAATATATAATTGTGGATTATATTTTCTTCATTTCTTTAAGAGTCAAGTGATGACTTTGTGAATGTATTTTCCAAGCAGCTTTTTTTAACACACATACTTTGGAATTCGTCTTATGTTTGAGTCTGGTGTACATATCACCCTTTATCAGTCTGGTGTAGAGGATATATACATATCACCCTGTACCAGTCTGGTGTAGAGGATATATACATATCACCCTGTACCAGTCTGGTGTAGAGGATATATACATATCACCCTGTACCAGTCTGGTGTAGAGGATATATACATATCACCCTGTACCAGTCTGGTGTAGAGGATATATACATATCACCCTGTACCAGTCTGGTGTAGAGGATATATACATATCACCCTGTACCAGTCTGGTGTAGAGGATATATACATATCACCCTGTACCAGTCTGGTGTAGAGGATATATACATATCACCCTGTACCAGTCTGGTGTAGAGGATATATACATATCACCCTGTACCAGTCTGGTGTAGAGGATATATACATATCACCCTGTACCAGTCTGGTGTAGAGGATATATACATATCACCCTGTACCAGTCTGGTGTAGAGGATATATACATATCACCCTGTACCAGTCTGGTGTAGAGGATATATACATATCACCCTGTACCAGTCTGGTGTAGAGGATATATACATATCACCCTGTACCAGTCTGGTGTAGAGGATATATACATATCACCCTGTACCAGTCTGGTGTAGAGGATATATACATATCACCCTGTACCAGTCTGGTGTAGAGGATATATACATATCACCCTGTACCAGTCTGGTGTAGAGGATATATACATATCACCCTGTACCAGTCTGGTGTAGAGGATATATACATATCACCCTGTACCAGTCTGGTGTAGAGGATATATACATATCACCCTGTACCAGTCTGGTGTAGAGGATATATACATATCACCCTGTACCAGTCTGGTGTAGAGGATATATACATATCACCCTGTACCAGTCTGGTGTAGAGGATATATACATATCACCCTGTACCAGTCTGGTGTAGAGGATATATACATATCACCCTGTACCAGTCTGGTGTAGAGGATATATACATATCACCCTGTACCAGTCTGGTGTAGAGGATATATACATATCACCCTGTACCAGTCTGGTGTAGAGGATATATACATATCACCCTGTACCAGTCTGGTGTAGAGGATATATACATATCACCCTGTACCAGTCTGGTGTAGAGGATATATACATATCACCCTGTACCAGTCTGGTGTAGAGGATATATACATATCACCCTGTACCAGTCTGGTGTAGAGGATATATACATATCACCCTGTACCAGTCTGGTGTAGAGGATATATACATATCACCCTGTACCAGTCTGGTGTAGAGGATATATACATATCACCCTGTACCAGTCTGGTGTAGAGGATATATACATATCACCCTGTACCAGTCTGGTGTAGAGGATATATACATATCACCCTGTACCAGTCTGGTGTAGAGGATATATACATATCACCCTGTACCAGTCTGGTGTAGAGGATATATACATATCACCCTGTACCAGTCTGGTGTAGAGGATATATACATATCACCCTGTACCAGTCTGGTGTAGAGGATATATACATATCACCCTGTACCAGTCTGGTGTAGAGGATATATACATATCACCCTGTACCAGTCTGGTGTAGAGGATATATACATATCACCCTGTACCAGTCTGGTGTAGAGGATATATACATATCACCCTGTACCAGTCTGGTGTAGAGGATATATACATATCACCCTGTACCAGTCTGGTGTAGAGGATATATACATATCACCCTGTACCAGTCTGGTGTAGAGGATATATACATATCACCCTGTACCAGTCTGGTGTAGAGGATATATACATATCACCCTGTACCAGTCTGGTGTAGAGGATATATACATATCACCCTGTACCAGTCTGGTGTAGAGGATATATACATATCACCCTGTACCAGTCTGGTGTAGAGGATATATACATATCACCCTGTACCAGTCTGGTGTAGAGGATATATACATATCACCCTGTACCAGTCTGGTGTAGAGGATATATACATATCACCCTGTACCAGTCTGGTGTAGAGGATATATACATATCACCCTGTACCAGTCTGGTGTAGAGGATATATACATATCACCCTGTACCAGTCTGGTGTAGAGGATATATACATATCACCCTGTACCAGTCTGGTGTAGAGGATATATACATATCACCCTGTACCAGTCTGGTGTAGAGGATATATACATATCACCCTGTACCAGTCTGGTGTAGAGGATATATACATATCACCCTGTACCAGTCTGGTGTAGAGGATATATACATATCACCCTGTACCAGTCTGGTGTAGAGGATATATACATATCACCCTGTACCAGTCTGGTGTAGAGGATATATACATATCACCCTGTACCAGTCTGGTGTAGAGGATATATACATATCACCCTGTACCAGTCTGGTGTAGAGGATATATACATATCACCCTGTACCAGTCTGGTGTAGAGGATATATACATATCACCCTGTACCAGTCTGGTGTAGAGGATATATACATATCACCCTGTACCAGTCTGGTGTAGAGGATATATACATATCACCCTGTACCAGTCTGGTGTAGAGGATATATACATATCACCCTGTACCAGTCTGGTGTAGAGGATATATACATATCACCCTGTACCAGTCTGGTGTAGAGGATATATACATATCACCCTGTACCAGTCTGGTGTAGAGGATATATACATATCACCCTGTACCAGTCTGGTGTAGAGGATATATACATATCACCCTGTACCAGTCTGGTGTAGAGGATATATACATATCACCCTGTACCAGTCTGGTGTAGAGGATATATACATATCACCCTGTACCAGTCTGGTGTAGAGGATATATACATATCACCCTGTACCAGTCTGGTGTAGAGGATATATACATATCACCCTGTACCAGTCTGGTGTAGAGGATATATACATATCACCCTGTACCAGTCTGGTGTAGAGGATATATACATATCACCCTGTACCAGTCTGGTGTAGAGGATATATACATATCACCCTGTACCAGTCTGGTGTAGAGGATATATACATATCACCCTGTACCAGTCTGGTGTAGAGGATATATACATATCACCCTGTACCAGTCTGGTGTAGAGGATATATACATATCACCCTGTACCAGTCTGGTGTAGAGGATATATACATATCACCCTGTACCAGTCTGGTGTAGAGGATATATACATATCACCCTGTACCAGTCTGGTGTAGAGGATATATACATATCACCCTGTACCAGTCTGGTGTAGAGGATATATACATATCACCCTGTACCAGTCTGGTGTAGAGGATATATACATATCACCCTGTACCAGTCTGGTGTAGAGGATATATACATATCACCCTGTACCAGTCTGGTGTAGAGGATATATACATATCACCCTGTACCAGTCTGGTGTAGAGGATATATACATATCACCCTGTACCAGTCTGGTGTAGAGGATATATACATATCACCCTGTACCAGTCTGGTGTAGAGGATATATACATATCACCCTGTACCAGTCTGGTGTAGAGGATATATACATATCACCCTGTACCAGTCTGGTGTAGAGGATATATACATATCACCCTGTACCAGTCTGGTGTAGAGGATATATACATATCACCCTGTACCAGTCTGGTGTAGAGGATATATACATATCACCCTGTACCAGTCTGGTGTAGAGGATATATACATATCACCCTGTACCAGTCTGGTGTAGAGGATATATACATATCACCCTGTACCAGTCTGGTGTAGAGGATATATACATATCACCCTGTACCAGTCTGGTGTAGAGGATATATACATATCACCCTGTACCAGTCTGGTGTAGAGGATATATACATATCACCCTGTACCAGTCTGGTGTAGAGGATATATACATATCACCCTGTACCAGTCTGGTGTAGAGGATATATACATATCACCCTGTACCAGTCTGGTGTAGAGGATATATACATATCACCCTGTACCAGTCTGGTGTAGAGGATATATACATATCACCCTGTACCAGTCTGGTGTAGAGGATATATACATATCACCCTGTACCAGTCTGGTGTAGAGGATATATACATATCACCCTGTACCAGTCTGGTGTAGAGGATATATACATATCACCCTGTACCAGTCTGGTGTAGAGGATATATACATATCACCCTGTACCAGTCTGGTGTAGAGGATATATACATATCACCCTGTACCAGTCTGGTGTAGAGGATATATACATATCACCCTGTACCAGTCTGGTGTAGAGGATATATACATATCACCCTGTACCAGTCTGGTGTAGAGGATATATACATATCACCCTGTACCAGTCTGGTGTAGAGGATATATACATATCACCCTGTACCAGTCTGGTGTAGAGGATATATACATATCACCCTGTACCAGTCTGGTGTAGAGGATATATACATATCACCCTGTACCAGTCTGGTGTAGAGGATATATACATATCACCCTGTACCAGTCTGGTGTAGAGGATATATACATATCACCCTGTACCAGTCTGGTGTAGAGGATATATACATATCACCCTGTACCAGTCTGGTGTAGAGGATATATACATATCACCCTGTACCAGTCTGGTGTAGAGGATATATACATATCACCCTGTACCAGTCTGGTGTAGAGGATATATACATATCACCCTGTACCAGTCTGGTGTAGAGGATATATACATATCACCCTGTACCAGTCTGGTGTAGAGGATATATACATATCACCCTGTACCAGTCTGGTGTAGAGGATATATACATATCACCCTGTACCAGTCTGGTGTAGAGGATATATACATATCACCCTGTACCAGTCTGGTGTAGAGGATATATACATATCACCCTGTACCAGTCTGGTGTAGAGGATATATACATATCACCCTGTACCAGTCTGGTGTAGAGGATATATACATATCACCCTGTACCAGTCTGGTGTAGAGGATATATACATATCACCC